ATAGAGAAGACCTAGAACTTTGGGTAGCTTGTTGGTCTGGGTTAAAATTCTTGCTTAGGGTGTGAAAAGTCCGGAGTTCAAATCTCCAACAAGTCCCCCCCTTTTAAACGAAAACACATTTTCATAGAGATCTAGGGACTGCCCAGAGGTCTCAGCTATTTGCCATCAAACCCAACACTACAAGAAGGAATTAAAAGAAAATCTTTAAAAGCCTCAAGATGGTTCCTGATGCCTATAAATTTTAATTGGAGTCTTGAGGGTCCAGAGAATGAGGACACCCCTGGGTTAGGGCTCTCTGCCCTGGGCTTGGGTCAGTTAAAGGCCTGAAGGGGAGAAAATCAGTGAGAGGCCACGCTCTCCCACAGTCATGCACCTTTGAGGGCTCAAGGCCATTAATTACTCAGGTGAGACTCAAACACCCCTTGCTAAGTGTCCAGCAAGTTACAGGCCATGATTACCCAGGAGGGATGGGGCGACCGCACTTAGAGTCCAGCAGAGGCCCTCTTCCCCTTTTTGTCTCCCCCTTTTCTTCCTCCTCCTCCTCTCTCCATTTTCTTGTAACCCCTCAACTAGACACTCCCTGGTCTGCCTTGGTTCCACTACCCCAGATAGGGGAAAGCTTCTCAGAGCAAGGGCAGGGAACTAGTCCTGGGATCCACACCTTTGAAACAGGGGTCCTGTGCCCTCTCTGAACATCAGGCTGTGAGAGGCCTCTTTTTGGGCAGCTGACTTTGAATGTTAAGGGGTTTCCATCACAGAGAGCTACTTTCCATAAAGGTAGAACATTTCCTCACTTTCCAGGTAACCGTGGGCTAGGGTCACAGCCCAGACCCAATCTTCTCTGTCTTCCAAAGACTCCCACAGATTCCGAGGCTGACTGTCAAGTTATATTTCCCTGGAGGAACTGTCTCTGTCATAATGTTATTTTGTTAAACTTTTATTTGTGTACACCTTAACAAGCAGTTACTGACGAAGTCCCACTGAGCTGACCCTTACCCAGGAAGAATGGCACTCTTCACAGTTCCAAGAAGTCCCAGGCTTGCTTCACTTCTCCACACCTGGCCAAAGATTATAGATCTGAGGGAGAGGGACTCTCAGTGGGGTTTTCAGGTTAAGTCTTCTTCCCTTAGTATACGAAGGATGTTTGGGGGAATCACAGCCAGTAGGGCCATATCCCATGAGAGCCTCATTAGAGACAATTGGAGAGTAGTTGTCCCTTCTCCTTGGGCAATTTTGGATCCAACATTGATAATAAAGACCTGTCATTGGAATTACATAATTGCTTTTTCAGGACTTGACAACGTTGGAAATGATGCAGGGTTAATCATTAGCAACACCCCTTCTGTTAGAGAAAACTCATAATCCTATATTTTATCCCCCACCTGAGCTAGAATGGTATCTAGTTGGGAAATATACATAATGCTGTATAGAGATTAAGAGAATAAACTTTGGGTTCCCACAGATCTGTACTCAATCCCTAGATCCATCATTGACAATAGTATAACCTTGAGAAAGCTACCAGCCTTCACAGAATCACAAAATTTCATCATCTGTAGAATGGAGAAATAATATTCACCTTGTAGAGTTGTGCAGATTAAATGAGATAATTTGTGTTAAAAACTTTGCGACCCACTAACCTCATTAATGCACTGAAATAGGACCATGTCCACTAGATGGAAACTAAGGTATTAAGTGACATTTACATCCTTTACTCTCTGTTCAATCATCTGTGTTCTGAATAAATATCATTCAGTAATATTGCCACATGTTTATCTTCATATGTGAACAGTGATTTTTAAAAATATGTTGTTATTGATTTTTTTTTTTAAGAAAAAGATAGAAACATCGATGTGAGAGAGAAACATTAATCGGCCACCTCCTACATGCCACCCACTGGGGATCGAGCCCACAACCCGGGCATGTGCCCTGACTGGGAATTGAACTGGGACCTCTCAGTCCATAGGATGACGCTCAATCCACCGAGCTACACTGGCTGGGTATACTTTTGGTTTAAAGATTAGTTTTGATTTCAACATAAGTTTATTTAGTACTTCAGTCCCATGTCTCACAGATTTTTGACTTGGGATACGTGGAAATCAATTAAGTATTAGTTAGAGGGACAAAACAAAGCACAAATGGGATGGTTTTTGCTTTGCCCAATATTCTTGCCAATTTTTAATTGAGAAATTAAAATACACAGATGATAAACAGAACATAATAGTAGAAGAGAAAAAAATCAATGTTGGTGTTATTTATTTGAAGCAAGTCTGTCCATTAGATGTCTTTATTGCCTCTTGGAGAGTTATAGCTAATTCTTTAAAGGACCATATCAGGTTTGTTGGCACATGATATATCCTTTATTTTGAAGGCTGGAGTGTAAAGGAGGGTGGGAAGGACTGAAAAGACATGTTTTGGAGAGTGTTTGCTCATACAGTCCCAATGGTCACTGAACCATAGTCATCCAAGAGAATGTCCACCAGGTCCTTCCTGAGACCTCCTGAGATGGTTCTGTTTTCTTCAGGCAGCAGCACTGAAAACTTCCTCAGAGTGTCCAGGTCAACTTTTATTGCACAAGTATCAAAATTATGTCCAGCAGATGTGGCTCAGTTGGTCGGGCATCATCCCACGTATGAAAGGTTGCCCACTGGATCCCCAGTAGGGGGTGTACAAAAGGCAGCGGATTGATCTCTCATCAGTGTTTCTATCTCTCTTACCCTTCTCTCTGAAATCAATAAAAACATTTTTTTTTAATTTACAAAACTTAGCCCTGGCTGGTTTTCTCAGTGGTTAGAGCATCGGCCTGAGAACCAGAGAGTCCCGGGTTCAGTTCTCGCTGAGGGCAGGTGCCTTGGTTGCAGTTTGTTCTCACCAGGTTGGGGTCGTGTGGGTGGCAACCACTTGATGTGTCTCTCTCACATTGATGTTTCTCTCTTCCTTCCTCCCTCTCTCCCTTCAGCTCTATCTGAAGATAAATGCAAAAATGTCCTCGGGTGAGGAAAAAAAATATCTTCAGGTATGGATTGATTAAATAAATAAATAAATAAATAAATAAATAAATAAATAAATAAAAATTTACAAAACTTAAAAAAATTAAAAAAAGAACCACAAGTATTCCCCTCCCCCCTTTCCTGAGCTGGAGATCTCCAAGTGCAAACATGGCTGGGGATCCTCTCTGCTAGCTCTTCTGGCCAGCAAGGAGCGCTCCACCAGAACACCTCTGGAAGCACCTTCATCAAAGGGAAGTGCCAGGTATCATGTTGGTCCAAGCAATCTGGTCTGTCAGTCACCATTTTCAAGCAACTTTTGTAAATTGTTCTGTATCTTTTCTAATTTCATTATGTTACCTGAAAGATCTTGGCAGGGGACCTCCACATTTAATACTTGTGACCCCAGGCCGGATAGTGCTGCCTGTTCAGTATGATAGTCTCCACAATGGAGGTCAGTGATGCCAGCCGCTCCTCCAGAGTATTAATTCTGTATCTCATGTAGACGGTCGAGATGATTAATGTATAGACAACAATTGTGTAGAATATAAGAATATGGCAGAGTCAGACATTTCTGAGACTTGATTTTGTATAAGATTCCAATGGTTCAACTGACGGTGTGCAGGGAGACTCTTGGCTTTTCCTTTTAGGTACTCTGTTCACATGGGCATCTGCCCTATTTGATTTTGCTTCTCCTTTGGAGACATTCAGAACTGTCTGAGATTCTGTCACATGGAAATTTCTAGAGTTCTCGGATTTGGGAGTCTGAGAACCAGAACTTCTGTTTCCTTCTATGTCTTGCTTTCTGTGTTGAACCAATCCATCCAGACCTGAGAATTCATCATTGAAACCCAGAGGCAGAGATGAAGGGCAGTCTGCCTGGAAACTGTTTTCAAGAGAAGATAAATTGGTACTATTACTAAGATTTGTATTTTCTAAGTGTCCACACACAGATTTTAGTAGTTTATAAGTCGAATCTTTGGTGAGTAAGAAGACAAATGTGTATCTGTCTGTGACTGTTGCTATCATCAGGGCACTTGGCACCAGAAGAGAAGTTTTGGTTTTCTTTATTAGGGTTACCGAGAGAGCCGGCATAAAGAACTTAATGTCTTTTCCAAAGGCCTTGGAATGAAAACAAATCCAGTTTTCTGATACAAAGAGCTTCCTTTCCCTTGGTATAATAGTTCTTTCTGAGAGCACAGGTAAAACTTTGCCTCAGTGGTTCCTCATTTGGGACATCAAGAAACAACTTGTGCGGGGCGGTGTTGCTCAGTGGTTGAGCATCGACTCATGCACCAAGAGGTCAACGGTTCGATTCCTGGTCAGGGGACATGCCCAGGTTGTGGGCCCAATCCCCAGTGAGGGGCATGCAGGAGGCGGCCAATCGATGTTCTCTCTCATCGATGTTTCCATCTCTCTCCCTTCTTCTCTCTCTAAAAATCAATAAAGAAAAAAAAAATATATATATATAAAGAAAAAGAAACAACTTGTGAAAGTGCTTATTTGCCTTGTACTAGCTGGAAGATGAAGAGTTCTTTCTTTTCGTCTTAGAGTCATTTTTGTGTTTTTTTTTTCCAGTCGTTCTTATCACTTGCTAAAGAGGCACCATCAAAATTGGGTTTTGACCACAGGCAGATGATTTTCTTCTGGTCTGGGGACTGGGTCTCTTAGGTGGGGTGGGAGACTGGGCTGTTGGCGACCTGCAGACTTTCTTTTTCTTTTCCACACCATTTTCAGCCTCTGAATGGGCTGAGCCCACTTTGCTCTTTCTCTTCCCAAGCACTTTGGCAACCTTCGTATCTTCCACATCTTGCTGTAGCTGAGCCATCTGGGCTGGTCGGGAGGGCACCTCCGGACCCGCGCGCTCCTCCCGCCTGCAGGTCCTCCTCCCGAGGCTCCGCCCTCCGCGTAGCAGGCCCAGAAAGCCGGCCCGCGCCCCGCCCGCGCCCCGCCCGCTCCCCCGCGACTGCCGCTGCTGGGCGCGTACAAGCTCCGCCCGCGCTGCCAGCCACCAACATGCACACTTTCGAGCGGCTGATTGATCCGAGGAGGGTAAGTGGCGAAGAAGGGAAGGGGAGGGGGCAAATCTTTTATTCAATATTATAATTTGTGGGTAAATGGGTTAAAAACAGGAACCATTGCTGAGTCCATTTATAAATTGGGAGAACATGGATGCCAATGAGGAATAGAGAATTCCTGAATCTAATTGGTATCTATAGTTGTTCTGAAGGCAAAATCTGCCTTTAAGGTGCCCATATAGCTTTTGATCTTATGCATTGTAAAGTTTAGTTTCCTGAGTTGATGATATTTAAGAGTAACTAACAGAAACCATAACACCTGATCAGAAGTGACAACTGAATCATATATAAAATCTCCATCCTCGCCCTGGCCGGTTTGGCTCAGCGGTTAGAGTATTGGCCTGTGGTCCAGAGAAACCCGGGTTCAGTTCCCGCTAAGGGCACGTACCTCGGTTGCAGTTTGTCCCCGGCCCTGGTTGGGGTCGTGTGGGTGGCAGCCAGTCGATGTATCTCTCTCACATTGATGTTTCTCTCTCTCTTCCTCCCTCTCTCTCGTTCTACCTGAAGATGAATGCAAAAATGTCCTCTGGTGAGGATAAAAAAAATAATAAGAAAATAAAGTTCAAAAATCTCCATCCTCTGGAAACCAGAGTGTTCCTCTAACTAATATTTCACTTTGGGTTAATTTATAAACAATGATTTCCTTGCCTGACTATGGTGTCTTAATAAATATTATTCACCTACTCCAGTCTCTGAATAGGAACCTCAGGGCTATAATGAGCCCTCGTACCTCTATCAGACAATAAGTTCTGTCCATTCTATCTCTATCTCCAAAAATAAGCCCCCCCCCCCCCCCAAGATCTGTGGAGTAGGGAGAGACTGGTCACAGGACTAGCAAAGCCATTGTTTGCACATGATGAAAAACCAGTTTGTATTATCTTAAAGAGAGATAGAATCTATTGGTTGATGTAATGTTCAAAGTTCTTCTTGCAAAGCCTCTGTGTTTCAGGCAAGGTTAGATTTAGGGACCCAAATAAGGACATGTATTTATCTTTCTACTTTGTTTGCTTGTTTGACTTCATTCTGAAAACTATCTTTCTCCATGTGTTAGGCAAGATTGCCTCCAGTAGCTTCAAACTCATTCTCCCAGACTAGCAATCACAGGGCACATAGAACTTCTCTCTGCCAGTGTTTATTTTAACTCTAGGCAAGGTTGTGAGCATTCCGTATTCAATCATATGCCCAAATATGAACCAACCAATCTGGATGAAAGAGGGGAATATTTTAATCATCCTGGGTCATAAACCAATAAATTCCATTTGGGAACCCAGTGATGAACATTAACACCAAGACTAAATGGAGGAAGGAAGGAATTTCCCAAATATGGGAAAGAATGGAAATGGGAAGGAACGCCCTTGAACAAAAGTCTGATTACTATGATCCATTAGAGTTACACTATCAGCTGAATTGAGCAAAGGATTGAGAAGGAACAAGGATAAATTAGTAAGCTGTTTTAAATGTAAGATGAACAGCCCTGGCCTGTTTGGCTCAGCAATTAGAGCACCGGCCTGTAGACCAGAGGGTCCCAGGTTTGGTTCCTGCTAGAGGCACGTACCTTGGTTGCAGTTTGTCCTCCGCCCCAGTTGGGGTCGTGCAGGTGGCAACCAGTCAATATGTCTCTCTCATATTGATCTCTCTCTCTCTCTCTCTCTCTCTCTCTCTTCCTTCCTCTCTCACTCCTGTTCTGTCTGAAGATAAATGCAAAAAAATGTCCTCAGGTGAGGATATAAATAAATAAATAAATAAATAAAGTTAAGATAAACAAAAAAACTGTAATCAATGACAACACAGTACCAATCTTGGTTTCTAAATACTATTCCCTACTAAAAAAAATAAACGGTCCTTTAGAGAAAGGGCTGGTTGTGGATCTGGGTAGGAAAAAGACAAGGTGAGTCTAGGATATTATGTATGTGCCAGAAAGTGAATTTCACTTTAAAAATTTTAATGGGGCTATTAGAAAATTTTACTTACAGATGTGATGTTCATTGCCTCTAGCATTTCATCGGGAGACACATTATATCTGGTTGTTCCTCTTTTTTAAATGATAGAATACTATGGATATCTTTCTAAGTCTTGCTAACTTAGATATCTTTCATTCAAAGACATCTGGGCATGTATTTAAAGAGAGCCCTGTATTTTTATTTTTAAAATATTTTTTCTTTATTGATACTTAGAGAGGAAGAAGAGGGATAAAGGGATAGAAACATCAATGAGAGAAAACATCAACTGGCCGCCTCCTGCATTCCCCCCCACTGGGAATTGGGCCCACAACCTGGGCATATGCCCTGACCAGGAATCGAACTGGTGACCTCTTGGTTCATGGGTCGATGCTTAACCACTGACCCACACCATCTGGGAGAGAGTCCTGTCTTTCTCACCCTTCTCTGTCATCTAGCTTGCAAGGGAAAAGGAAACACATCCAACGCAGGTTTCAAACCCCCAACTCTGAGATTAAGAGTCTCATGCTAAACCAACTTAGCTAGCTGGATTCATGATATTGTGATTTATGCTCAGAGAAGAGTGTGTACACACTAGTTAGTGTGACAGTGAGAATGAATTGGGAGGGTCATGAACTGCTGGCAGAAGTGCATGGCAGCCAAGCAGCATTTGACCCAGGTCTCCTGATTAGCAAGTGGTGTAGGAACCGGATCTGGAAAAGTAAAGCAGACCTGGGATTTCTCGTGACTATGAAGAGTGCCATTCTTCTTGGGTAAGGGTCAGATCAATGGGACTTCAGCAGTAACTTGTTAAGGTGTAAATCTGTATAGGGGCACACTTCACCACGTCCTTTTAAGTGGAGCTGCAGGAGCAGTTCTGAGATTATCAAGCAGATCCTTGTGATTGCCTAGTCATGACCGTATTTGTCTTGTTTATGAGACCCTGAACTGTGATGAACACAAACTGGCTGACTTTCTGCTTATATCTCTAGATAATTTCCATTTTAATTTTACAAGTTTGACTTAGAGAGTTCAGTGGACATAGCCAAGAAGGGCGGGCTCAGAACTCTATACAGTGTTCTGAAACTGTGAGCCCAGGAGGCAGCAGCAGCAATATTATTATCACCACTCTGGGAGCAGTTAGTGATTGATCACTGATAACATCCTCAGAGCAAACATGTAAAGAATGTATAATATGTCCAGATTAGAGATAATGGAACTGAAAAATGTTCTCTAAAGGAACACCACCTGTGACATCAATAATATCAGAACCCTATATGAGGGTATATTCTTGCTACATGTCAGTTTCTATGGTAATCATTTACTCATATGTTTACAGCACTCATTATAAATATTAAAGTCTCTATTAATATTCTTATATTTATAATGTTTTGTGACACTTAAAAAATACATGGTATTGCCCTGGCTGGTTTGGCTCAGTGTCAGCCTGTAGACCAAAGAGTCACAGGTTCAATTCCAGTCAAGGGCACATACCTTGGTTGTGATTTGGTCCCTGGCCTTGGTTGAGGTCATGCAGGAGGCAACCAATCGATGTGTCTCTCTCACATCAATATTTCTTTCTCTCTCACCCTCCCACTCTATCTCAAAAATCAATGAAAAAATATCCTTGGGTGAGAATTAAAAAGAAAATACATGGCATGGTAGAAAGTTCAAACATACAAAGGATTTATGGACAAAACCACTGTCACAGTCTCTCAGTGTCTGCACATGCATAAGCACACTGCCCTCATTTTTCTAATAAAGTAATAGAGGCACAAAGAGGGACATAACTGGCCAAAACACACAGGGAGCAAAGTTCTAATGCCTCACCTATGTCACACAGCCTTTCTCCTTGGAATATATATATATAAATTTGTATTAGAGTTTATTTGACAATATGTACTGGGGAGCAAGATCTAAAATGCTCTCAAGAATAATAGTTTTGCAGCTTCTTTTATGCATTTGAAATTAAGGAGGGATCCTTGCAATCTTAACTGCCCCATCTTAACCATCATTTTCCAGGTTTTTTATTTTTTTCTTCTTTATCTGTCTCTGGGCCCAGGCTCCCAGCCTCATGAGAGGGGCAAACCAGTCAAGTGTCTCTGAGTTCCTTCTGGGGCTCTCCAGGCAGCAGCCCCACTTTGTCCTCTTCCTGAGCATCTACTTTGAAACCACTCATCCTCCTGGTCATTAGCATGGATTCCACCTGCACACTCCCATGTACTTCTTCCTTAGCAACCTGTCCTTGGTGGACATCTGCTTCTTCTCCATCCATGCCCAAGATGCTGGTCAACCACAAACTCGAGAATCAGACCATCTCCTTCTCTGGGTGTCTCACACAGATGTATTTCCTCTTTGACCTTGCCGACATGGACAATTTCCTTCTGACTGTGATGGCCATGACTGCTTTTTCACCATATTCTACCCCTTTACACTACTCAACAAAGATGATCCACCAGCTCTGTGCTCTGCTGGTCACTGGGTTATGGGTCATTGCCAACCTGAATGATTGATTGTAAACTTTGCTGATGGCTCGACTCCTGTTCTGTGCAGACAATACCTTCCCCCACTTCTGTGATGTGACTCCCCTCCTGAAACTCTATTGCTCTGACACACACATCAATGAGATGATGATTCTGACTGAGGGTGCCCTGATCATGATTACCCCATTTGTTTGCATCCTGACTTCCTATATCCATATCACCTGTGCTGTCCTGAGAGTCCCATTCACAAAGGGAAGACAGAAAGCCTTCTCCACCTGTGCCTCACACCTGGCTGTGGTTTTCCTCTTCTATGGTACCATCACTGCTGTGTATTTCAACCTTTCATCCTTGCACTCATCTGAGAAGGACAACACAGCTACTGTGATTTACACAGTGGTGACCCTCATGCTGCACCCTTTCCTCTACAGCCTGAGGAATGGGGACTTGAAAGGGCCCTGCAAAAAATAATTGGCAGGATGACATGCTCTTACTGATGAAAGTACCATGGACTTATCATTCCCATTCATATTAATATTTGCCAATTTACTGAAATGTAGCAACTATTTATCAAAGTGTCTGCAAAGAACTTAAAATAAATATAAATATTCTCAATTGATACGTATCAATGAACTCAGACTTCAGTAAAACCCTGTTCATTTAAATAGGTAATTATATTTGTTTCTAATTTTGTATTTCAAATCACTTTGCATAAAGGTCAAGTTTTTCCTTTCTAAGTGATCACTTTGAAAAGCTACATGTAAAAAGTATTTTTGCGTTTCTTAATTAGAAATGCTCTCAGAATCTACGTAAGTGGTTTTCTATCTTGGATGCACCGGGGAGCTCTGACAGTATATGTATTGATGTTGGACCAAATCTTGACCAATTAAATCAGAATCTCTGGGGTGGGACTCAGATGTTGGCTCAGTTCTCTGCCACCTTATATTGGAGCTTCCAAGTTATATTGGAGCCTGATATGCATGTTTTAATGTTTGTTTTTTTTAATCCTCACCCAAGGATATTTTTCCATTTTTGTTCAAATAGAGTGGGAGGGAGAGAGAGGAAAAGAGGGAGAGGGAGAGAAACATCAACATGAGAAGGACACATCGACTGGTTGCCTCCTGCATGACCCCAACCAGTGCTGGGGAAGAACAGCACTTGACCAGGTATGTGCTCTTGACCAGAACTGAACCTTTGACTAATTGGTCCCCAGGCCAATGTTCTAACTGCTGAGCCAAACCACCCACAGCTGTTTTAATGGTTAATTTTTTCTCAAAACATTTAAAGTAGCTGAAAAATTAAAAATTGGATCTATTACAACTCATATATCTAATTCCAATATAGTATTTATACCAAAACCAGAATACTTAAAAATGTTCCCTTCCTAGTGAAAAAGATTCCCTCCTTGACCAAACTCTAGTCAGGCTCCTCCGTCTTGTCAAACAGGCCCAACTTTGGCCTAAAAGACTTGAACAAACACTAATATGGCTTCTAACAGCTCACGACCATGTCCCTAGGATGACCCTAGCTCCCCCCGCCCCCCCTTAAGTGCCTGCCTCAAAAAAAATCAAGGCTGCCAAAAGAATTTACTCTTTGTTCCAGTAACATCTGAAGAGAGGGCCCCTTCCTCTCTTTCCCTGTGAGAGGGTAGGAGACTAACTTCCATAAGGGTAAACCCAGATAGGTTTCACCAGGACCAACCCCCTCATCCCACTTTTTGTAAATTTCCACTTCCCTGAGCGCTTAACGCCACTGCCATCCCCCCTCCCTGCTTCCTCGCTTTTCCTTTAATGCCCAGTCACCTCTGCAGAAATCAGAATGGTGCTCAGCTCCTTCCCCTACTGTCAGTAGTCACTGAATAAAATCTTCACTGATTTAATTAATGTCTGGCTGTGTTTTATGTCACACATAAAGCTGTTAATGTCATACCAGCTTTAGTGGCAGTAAATTAATCAAAATCTACTTCTTAGCCTATCTTGGTTTCAACCAAGAGAATTGCCATATTTGACAATTTCTCTGGGCCAAGTGAAGGTCTTCAATAATATTACATTAAATTTAACCTCATTTGTCTTTAAATTTGATATTTTGTTCAAAGACTTTTGTATTAATTTGATTTTTATAAGTCACTGAACTGAAATACTTATGTTGATTACTAAGTTTTTAGGGCCCCCTTAAGTTTTGCACTTCTACGCCCCCTTCCCCCACTTTCTCCACGTGAGACTCCCACACTCCTTGAGAGGAAAAGGGATGGACACAACAGTGCCTCTTCCTGGAAGAGCTGCACGCACCCTCAATTGGGACCAATCAGAGGCAGCGTTGCCTGGCTCTCCTTGCTCTGCCCCTTGCAGATCTTTCTTTAATTATCCAATAATAGTGGACCATCACCCTTCTTCCCGTGTGCTCCTGCCCAATTAGATAGGGGGAGGCGGAATCCTGTGGTAACTGCCTTCTCCGCAGGCGGAGACTCTCAACTGAAGTCTTGTGGGCTGGGAACTACAGCATGGAGCAGAGATTCTGCTCTGCAGTGAGTGGCGGTGACTTTTTTTTTATCCCGAAATGGCATAAAGAGGCACACTGGGGCCCTGGCCTGTATGGCTCAGCGGTTAGAGCATCAGCCCATGGACGAAAGAGTCATGGGTTCGGTTCTGGTCAAGGGCACCTACCTCGGTTGCTGTTGGTCCCCCGTCCCTGTGGGGGCCGTGTGGGAGGCAATGAGTTGATGTGTCTCTCTCATGTCCATGTTTCTCTGTCTCTCTCTGTCCCTGTCCGCCCCCCTTCTTCCTCCCTCTTACTCTACTTGAAGATAAATGAAAAAAATATATCCTCCAGTGAGTATTTTTTTAAAAAGAGGCACACTGGGTTTGGTGCCCTCCAAACCTGGACAACTGGCGGGTCCCATGAGCCTTCCACACGCTGCCAGCTTCCGGTCCATTAGGTCTCTGTTCCAGCTGTCCACCCTTCCTGATTAGGGAGGTGTTAAGAATTTCTATCTCGCCCTAGTCAGTTTGGCTCAGCGGTTAGAGCATTGGCCTGCGGTCCAGAGAGACCTGGGTTTGGTTCCTGCTAAGGGAACGTACCTTGGTTGTAGTTTGTCCCTGGCCCTGGTTGGGTTGTGCGGGTGGCAGCCACTCAATGTGTCCCTTTCATGTCGATGTTTCTCTCTCTCTCCCTTCCCACTCTATCTGAACAAAAAATAGGAAAATGTCCTCGGGTGAGGATAAAAAAAAAAAAAAAAAAGAATTTCCATCTCCTATGTCCACAAGCCGGGACTGTCGGAAGCCAGGTCTGACTTCCAATCTGATACCTTTCAAAATGTGAGGTTGACTTGGGAGCCAGCAGCGCATAAACATATGTACGTGGCTCAGAATCTTCTCAGAATAAGGGCTAAGCCCTTGCTACCCAGTGTGACCCGAGGACCAGGCATTGCCTGCATGATTGGTGGAAATGCTTTATTTCAGGCCCCATACCAGACTTCCTGAATAGAATCTTCACTTTACCAACGGTGATTTCTGTGCATGTTAATGTTTGAGAAATGCTGCTTTAACCCTGGCCAGTTTGGCTCAGCGGTTGAGCGTCAGCCTGCGGACCAGAGAGTCCCGGGTTTGGTTCCCGCTAGGGGCACATACCAAAAAAAAGAAAGAAAGAGAGAGAGAGAGAGAGAGAGAGAGAGAGAGAAAGAAAGAAAGAAAGAAAGAAAGAAAGAAAGAAAGAAAGAAAAAGAGAGAGAGAGAGAAATGCTGCTTTAAGTGTCCCAAGATTTCTGGACTAGGAGGCAATGTTGGTATGTGTATTTGTTCTTCAGATGGTGACCTATACTGCAAACCTGAAGGAGATGTTAAGGTTTGAATCAGACTCAGGATCTTTGTGACATTTCAGGCATCACTTACAACTTAAGTTGATATAATGAAAGTCATGAGGGATGATATAGATAGAAAACCTATCATGAACATTAGTATCTGAGAACATTCAGAAACAGTCAGGAAGGGAAATGAATGTACCTGAGGTTGAAAGACTGATAGGATGTGTATTAGGGATGAATGGCATCCTACAAACATCATTTCTAACAAAGAACCTCACTTTATAATAAAAGGGAAGTGGTAGCCAGTTGCCAAGATAGCCCTCAATGATCATAATCTTGTGTAATCCCACTTTGAATTGGGCTGACTTTTTGTCTTAATCCATTGGGGCTGCAATAACAAAATATCATAGATTAAGTAGCTTATAAACACCAGAAATTTATTTTTTACAGTTCTAGAGGCTGCAAAGTCCAAAATCAAGATGCTGGCACATTTGGTGTCTGGTGAGAGCTCACTTCCAGGTCAATAGGCAGTGGTCTTTTCAGTGTAACCTCACATGGCAGAAGGGACAAGAGAGCTTTCTTAGGATTCTTGTACTAATCCCATTGGTGATCGCTCTGCCCTCATGACCTAATCACCTCCAAAGCCCCACCTCCGAATACCACCACTTTTGGGGTTAGGATCTTAACATATGACTTCTGTGGGGACACAGTCCATAGTACTGAATAAACAATAGGATGGTGGTGTGTGACTTCTGGAGCTCAGTTATAAAAGATAGTATGGCCTCCATTTTGCTCTCTTGAATCACTTGCTCTGGGGAAACCAACTACTCTGTTGCAAGTATATATCAAGTTAGCTCTATGGAGAAGTACATGTGAGTGAGGAACTGAGGCTTCCAATAGCTGTATGAGCACATTGGAAGCACATCCTTCAGCAACAGTCAAGCATTCAGGTGACTGAGCCCCTGCTGACATCTGTCTCATGAGAAGCCCTGATCCAGAACCAGTCAGTTAAACCATTACCAGATTCTTTAAAAAAAATTTTTTTTTCCTCTATTGATTTTAGAGAGAAAGGACGTGAGAGGGAGAGAGAGCTAGAAACATCGATGAGAGAGAACATCGATTGGCCACCTCCTGCATGCCTCCGACGGGATTTGGCCCACAACCTGGGCATGTGTCCTGACTGGGAATCGAAATAGCGACCTCTTGTTGCATGGGTCGACGCTCAACCACTGAGCCACCCTGGCTGGACTCATTACCGGATTCTTGACCCACAGGAACTATGTGAGATACAGGTTTACTGTTTTAAATAGATAAATTTTGGGATTATTTGTTACTTGGCAATAGTGGAGTAGCTATATAAGGAATAAAGCTGGGGTCCATGGGCTCATTGGTATTTACTTGTACCATCACCAAAAGCAGTTGACCCTATTGAATAGAGAAATGATCTTTTACAGACTCAGTTTTTGCACCAGTTGCACAGGTGAGGTTAGGGGTCTATTTTACAGGATACAGTATAAGTTTCATACCAGTATATGCTGAACGTTTTTCCAACCAGGAATTTTTGGCCCAAGAAAATGAGAGGCAGAAGCAATACCTAACAATCTGCTTAAAAACTTTTTCTTCTTATTCCAGCAACACTGGGCTCTGAAGAGACTTCTTGCTGGCCAATTTG